ATTAATGAATTTTATTTAAAAAATAGGGTTATAATTTTTCAAATGAGTGGAAATCGGGAAAAATATTAAAAAAAATTATAAGTCATATCTTATAGGGTTTTTATTGAAAAATATTAATGATTCATTTTTGGTACACTATGCAAAATAGACATAAAAATTCTTTAGTTAGTATGACATATCTATAACAAAATTATAAACCACATGCATACCACACCAAAACAAAACCAACAAACCAATAAAGGAAGCATAGTACTAAATACATGTCGTAATTATTACCATTAGTGCATGTTGTCCCATTTTTGCATCAACACGAAATAAGCCCTCCATACACATGATAGTTACGGAATATAGACAAAAGTACTAGCAAATTAATAAATAAGAGACTTACCTTTAGAAAATATTGTTTGTTTAACGAATACACCAAAATATTTCTAAATAATCCACTTCCAAAAGTACGTAAATGAACCCGCTATCAAAAATGCGCGCCAATTGGTATAACGTCAGAAAGATACAAATATTGAAGTCAAATGTCATTATTTTAGTTAATTTTTGATAAGTCAATGGACAAAGGAATCACTGCCATTCAGCCAAATGTATCGATATCAAAACTGTTGTCGGGTATCCGCGCAAAAAGTTATTGATTCATTTTTGGGACTCTATGCATTTAAGGGATAAAGCGACGGCGCGACGGCACGTCGGCAAAGAATGACTGCATGTTTTGAAATTCGTATTTGCGAACGAAATAGATCGCGCATTTCGGGCTCGACCAATGATCGATCGGATTCGGTCAAATGGGCTTCCCATTCGTTCAGGCATTGTCCCTTATCTTATCGAGCAATATGGATTAGCGGAAAACTATCGAGGGAGAGGTCGAGATGCGCGCGTGATACCCGCGAATCCGTTTTGTCCATCGGACAACGGCATTGTCGCTCGAAAATTACACCAAAGGCGATGCCGGCAGGAACCGGAACCATGGATGCATTAAACTGGCGAACTTGCGACAGTCGTGACAAATGGCTCTCGAGGCCATTCGCCCGAGTATACTAACATTATAATGAAACTCACTCGTTCTACTCGAAAACCTCGCGCAACATAATTAGAGTTCTTTGCGACGGCCGGCCCGATACCATTCTTTACCCCATAGCTAACCCGGTCGCATTGATTTTCCTGGTTGTGGCGTTGCTCGACGACGATTCTCAATTTGATTCGATACGCTTTTTCTTTTTTTTAAATCTCATTATAAAATCGGATAAAACAGTTAAAAGTAAAAACAAAACTTTAGTCGTTGCACAGTAAACTAGTCGCTCGAACATCTCCAAAAGCTTCAAGCGATTTAGTCCAGTTATAAAAATGTTACACCGTTTTAAAACCCGTCCGAATACTTTCCTCGTCCACCGTATGTTATTTAACGGTGTTAAAGTTTACGAGCACCAGAGTGGCAGAAAAAGAGAGAGCTTTCGTCTACTATGATTCGTCGATACGACGTCCGTTCGCGATCGTGTTTGAAACGGTTTGAGGTTCCCTGTGTTAGGTCAGAAGATTACATAATTCTACTCGCTCTAGAATAAATCTTATACATTCTATTTGCTGGTAGTAATCCGAGTAAATTAAAGGATCGATCTCGAGCAATTAGAAAATGATTACACGCACGGTGCGCCCCATTGGTATTTTCGCCTGGGTGTCGACACGTTTGCGATCGGACGCGAACGTGTTCACCGAACTACGAGAACTAAAGACTGGCAGTTTCGGCCGGAGAATTGGCGATTACTTGTGATTCGGGAATAATCGTCGGTTCGTATGACGTTCCGTGACCCTGCGCCCGCGGCGTGTCAGCTCGCGATAGCGAGTAGAAGGTGAAGGAGAAACCGAGGCGGAAGAGACAAGTGGAAACGAAAGGAACGAGAGGAGAGAATCAGAAGCACAGCAGAGAATACACGCGGAGGGGGTAGTGAGAACGTGGTGGCGCTTCGACGCAGAAGCGGTGGGAGATCGTGGAACCAGGGGCGGACGGACGGACACGAAGCGTCGCGAGGCGACGCGAGGCGAGGCGAGGCGACGCGCGGCGGTGCGGTGCGGCGTGGCGCGGTGCGGTGCGGCGCGGTGCGGTGCGGCGCGGTGCGGCGCGGCGCGGAGCGACGAGGCGAGATTCGTCTCTCCTCAGTCGACGTCTAGCCGTCGCGACGCGTGCGTAATATCTTTCGTCGGTTTCCCGAAACTCACGAGACTCGCGTGTACCACGCAGCGTGACTCGCCGTCGATGTTCGGCCACCTGTTCGCTCCAGAAAGTCAAGCGGGTTCAGCACGGTGAGCGATCGGCGCGAGAACCGGTCGCCTCGTGGCCCCGACCGACCAGATATCCGAATATTTTTGTGGAATTGACGGCGCTGCGCCGACCCGGTCTGGTCTCGTCTCGACAGTAGCCTCCAGCTTGCGATATAACGTGTCCGGTTCTACTCGCCGCTGAAAACGCAGAAGTGTCCTCGGTGTGAACAGTCTGTGCCCTGTGAAAATCTCGCTGGACCAGCCTCTCTCTACGTGATTATCAGTGCGATACACCCTTGGATTATGACCGTCGGGTAGGTACCCGATCCGCAAATCTTTTTACACGATCGCTTCTCGGTCCCGAGGGGTTGCAGTCGCTCTGTGCTCTAAGTAGAATAGATCGTCGAGAACCGCCAGTCGTTCGATCCCCTCGCGCGTCCTTTCAGTTTTCCGCGAATCGAACGCGTCCCGAGTTGGTACGCGGCCGATTAGAAGTAAATTTTAGCGACAATATGACGTAGTAGACTTGTCAGCGATCGCAGAATTTTGTCGGATGGTTATAGATCCCTGTAGCCGTTGTCAAGAAGATAGGGATTAACCGTGTGATTCTGTATCGTTCGCGTTACCGCGATCGACAACGAACAATGTGTTCCGACATGAAAATCGCGACAGGAAGCAGGAACACGGGCCAGGTGATGCGCGGATAAACAACGTTTCGTTCTGCTGCAATGACATTAGACTTCTCGGAGAGATTGCCAAATGTTTTGGAATCTTGCTCGGGGGTTGGCCGTGTGTTTCGATATGGTCTTTCTACGGTCTTTCGGTCTCGTCGAACCGTTCGAGTTTCTCTACAGTATAATTTTCCAATTCAGCCTCGGCGAACAATAGTCGTGGATTGGCTTTAATAAAGAAAGCGCGTTCTCCCGAATAAGCCTGGCTTGTCCGCGGGGGGATATTTCGAGGCTCCTAGCGCGCGCGAGACAAATAAATAAAATTGATTTTACCGTTAACATGCTTTATGGGAGGAACGTGTTGGCGCAGCAAAATGAAAAATTATTTATTTCAGACTACTCTGTACACGGGATCGAGCCGCAAATGGGATGACGCACGCGGTCCCCGGTAATTATGGGTGAAAACAGTTTATCAAACGGTTATTTTTATTTGCTCGATTCAATTCCCGTGGCTCGTCCGATATAATTATATAATGTAGAATTTTCAATAAGCTCGCGGTAAAACAACGTACAATCGATCGGCATAACGGGCGTCGTTACGTATGCATTATTCCAATCGTTTCGCGACGATCCGGAGAAATTCTATGGGAGCGGAGGGAAGAATGTTAAGATAAGCTATAGCCGAAGACGATGTTGCTGTTTGCGTTGACATCGACGTTGGCCTACTCGCCTTGACGGCCTCGCATCCACTGTTTCGCAATTCGCCTGGTCGTGTTGCTCGCATTATGCATCGCACGCGCCAGGCTCCAGCTTTTCGCTATCGATCGACATCGAGGCACGGTAATTATCGATTTAGTATCGAGTAACTGCGGGCGCGAATGATTTCGACGGCCTTGGAGCATGATCGAACGACACAGTTCTGCTTGTTGCGCTCGCGCGATACTGCTCGTTACCAGTATCGATATTATTAGATCGCATTCGCGCGGTCGATTCAGACGATTCCGACGCACGGACGATGTTCGCGCGCGCGCGCGCGCGTTTCTGCATATACGCACCGGTTACCAGCACTTACTCCCACAGCCGAAGCCGAGAGCCGTACGTACGGCGAACGTGTCGCTAAAATTTGTCAACGTTTACGTCACGTCAAACTCCGTCGTTTCGTCGTTTGTTTCGTTTGGCAGCGCATGGCTCGCCTCGTTAACCTCCTTCTTGTTACACAATATCGACCCGGCCGCGCTATCGTTCATGCAAGAATTCTAGAAAACGATCGCTTCGATACGAGTCGCCCGTTTCATTGCTCGAACGATAAAGAATTGAAAACTACACGCGTTCACCATTTGTGTAAACTGTTCCGCTCTCCGAGGATTATACGCGGCTTCTTGGGAGCAGCTCGTAGGAAGAAGCCTCCGAGCACGTTTCGTGCCACGTGGCTTTAGCACTCCGAGACACCGGTAATAATACCCCTCGTTTTCGCGTTGCGTGGCCCTTCCCCATCCTCGCCGAGAAACAACCGTACTTCTTTAAACGATCATCTTTTAATTGCCGACTTCTCGTCCGGACGTCTGTCCATTGTTAATTGAATCGAATTTCTTTTCACGTACGGAAACGTATCAATAACAAAACCAAAGTTTACAATTACAAAAGCAAAAGTATAAATTGCGTTGAATAGCAGGGGATCAGTGTATCGGGTGAACAGGACTGGTTTTAAACTTAGTATTAGCGGCTGCATATATGTCGATCTTAACGAATGTTGCTGACTTCGCCGTTTAAAAAATTCCCTCAATTTTTATAAGGCCATAAGAATTGTACCAGACCAAACATATACAATAGTATCGCGTTACGTGAAACTATTGTTACAGTATAATTTAGTACCGAAAAGTCTGGCTCGTAAAGCAATCATAAAATTTTTATAGTATTACGTATTATGAAGAATACCGTTAACTATTGCGAACGATGACGTAAGGTGGCAAAGGAAGCTTCGTAAATCTTCTGCATTTCCCGTAGCAGCACTCAGATTTCGGTAACCGTAAACGACGTGCGAGCAACGGGTACGCGATAAGGATTACGAAACAACGATCTCGACCGTCGAACGGGGAGCAGTACAGATCTTAAAAATTCTGCACACAAAGCACACCTGTATTCGAGATTTTCTGGCAGTATTCCAGAAAATTTTGATTTCGCATAAATATCTCTTAGCAACGGTTCGATTTCTATTCGATCGGAAGATGTTCGTATTAAATCTAGTAATGTCCAGTAAAATTCGAATTTTTTCTAGTTACGTGCGAATGGCACAGATTTAAAAAAAAAAGGAATACACAAAGCGTACCTGTATTCTACATTTGTATGCACCATCAAGACATTCAAGGAATCGCACACTATTGTATTCTGTGAATCATCGCGCAACATATGGATCTAAAAGTTGCATTAATAGTACAATGAATCGTGCTAACTCCGTACAGGTAAAAACAGATACAACCGAATAATCCCTAGAAAGGCTAAAACTATCGTCTCGTTCAACCATCGTTGCATTGTACAATAGTCGCTTCACTAACCTTCATGAGCGATAATGTTGTCGTTTGTGTAAATTAGATTTCGTTTTTTCCTACGTTAATTTCCCTTTCCCTGCGATAAAGGGTTTCTTCTGCGAATAAATGAATGGAAGTGAAACGAAATTTCGTCGCAGTACTTCAGAACATTTTGATTTCGCGTAAGCATCTCTCTACCAACGATTGCTAATAGAGGCCACTCGATTAAATGGAAGATGTCTATACCGAATCTAGAGTCCAGTAAAGTTTCGATTGCACCTGCTTGCGCACGAGTGGGGCGAAAGTACGAGAACGTTGCGTCCCTTCGCGAGAGAGGGATTGTCGAGACCGAAATGGTCTCGAAGATTCGGTCCAGTCGATGATGCGAAGCGTGCTGGAGGGTGGTAACGAGTCCATGGGAACTGGAAAGAAACCCGTTCGCGGTGCGGCGCGCGAACGAAACGGAGAAGAAAGTCGCGAAGGAGGCGGCAGTTGTTTCTCGCGTTGTTTCGCTAATACAAAAACCTCGTCGAGTTCGTGCCCGGCACTGCAAAGCAGGCTGGGTGTTTTCGAGACAGCAGTTCCATCGAAGGAAGCACGTCGTAGCTTTCCTGACCCTCGGCCCGGCCGTGCCCGGTCAAAAGCCTTCGCGAAAGACAATTCGGTTCCACTTTGCCGTATCGTTCCCTCGCCATCGGGAACACTGGCTACGCGCAGATAAATCCACGATACCGATTTGTTGCATCCACCGAACCTCCGATTTTGGCACGAGCCTCACGTGCTCCGATACAGCGACGTGCTGTTCGGGACAAAGACGCGGGCTGCGATTCGATGAGAGAGCAGCGCCTCTTCTCCTCTCCCGTGCGGACGCGCCGCCGATTTTCCTCCGTGGTTTTTTTTCCAGATTCCGAGCAGGCAATGCCTGAAACATTGTTTCGCGTCGGGGATTCCCGTGACTGCTCCTTTCTTCCCCCGAATTGAAATTCACGAGTCCCGAACTTTCCCCGAATTCTCGGCGAAAATAATTAGCACGCTCTCTCCGCCGAATCGCGGCGCCCCAACAGTCGAAGAGACGGCAAATCGTGCTAAAATTTCATTCTCCCGAGATTGTCGCGGCAGCGTTTAATTTCTACGTCTGATCCGACAATCGACGCGTTGCTATTTTCTTGGGCGAATTATGCAATTAAATGCAATCGCGGCGCTGCATTAATATTCCATTGTCTTCGAACGTAACCTATCGTTGGATCGACAATTTGCACGCTGATCGAGGCAAATTTGTGTCCGCGTGCAAGAAGGTTGCGTGGACGCGGATCTTGCGGTACAGATTGTCGGGACACAGCTGTTACAGCTATATTATTCTTAATATTCTATGGTGTACTCGTCGTAACGCAAAATATTGCTATTTCTTCGTGACGCGTATACTCGTCAAAAACAGCTAATTTAGAAGGATATATATACTTTGATATCCTTTATTAAGTTATATAATATATTAGGTCTACCGGAAAGTTCTGTCCGTTTGAGAAATGAAAGGAAATAATAGATTTTTCATAAATTTAGTAATATTTATTGTACAATATCATTTCCGTCGTTACTTATGACCTCTTGCCAGCGTGATGGCAATTTGTGAGCAACATTTTTCAAAAATATATGTCTCAAACGAATATGTGCATATCTATTGAAATTTGCAACGACATTATCGGACAGAACTTTCCGGCAGACCTAATATAATTTAACGCTAACCTCCATTATTCGCTGTACTTAATTTTAAAACCGACCTTAGGTGTTATGTTCCCATCAGCAGAATTTGTATTTATTTATTAATGCGATCACCGATAAAGTCGATCTTTTCAGTGGCAATGTCTACATCTGTAAAATGAGATTACATAACACGCGGTGGGCCGTCTTATAATCTCCCTGATACGACACGCATCTCGTACGTTCTGCATTCCTTTCTTCATTCTCCGTGTTACATCTGCGTTACATTTGGCCTAGACCGGTTATTTCGATCGATCAAAATAAAAGAAATGATAAATACCGCGTGCTGACGATTCTTTGCGCATCGGTCGCAGAAGTGAACGAATCGCGTATACGATCGTTTGCTACGAGCAGCAATTACTA